AGCATAAATCAGTTAAATGACGAAAAATTAGGTGTCTATTTACTTGTGACCACTCAATGTACATCTTGGCAATAGCTCTACATTGTAGTTTCCATTACAAAAGGCTGTGGTATAATGTATTGCAGGTCTCTCTCTGGGTGGTCCTGGTGTACCAAGTTGATCTGTATTCCTTTCCTTTCCAATGTTATTAAGTACAAGGAATATTCCTGCCTTTGAATTTATAAATCTCCAATCTTAACACATCTTTATGATCTGAGTGTATGAATATTATACATTAGAAAAGCTGTTACCTACCCTTCCCAAAAGCTATCCTTTTTCGGTGACAATATTCTAATTACAAAACATGAAACAATTTTAAATTGTAATTTTGATAAATACCATTTTACCACGACTTTATGTTGTTTGTAGCTGCCGTGTGGCTGATTTGCATATTTAAAATCTTTTAAAATAAAATATAATCAAACCTGTCTATACCCACTTACTGAGATATTTTAGTACTTTCAATTCCTCTTTATATAAATATAATGCAGAATAATAATTATGAAAATAAGTCAAAACAATTCCACAGGCTCTGATTTTACCAACGTCAAATGACTCTTGCTTCAAGCCATGTAGATTGCACAAATAATCTTCAAACTTGATATTCCTGTTAAGTATAGTATAATTTAGCTCATGAGCCTATCCTCTTTTTTTGCATCACTCAACACGGCCTGGAATAATAATAAAATACCTTATCAGGATATTCGATAAATGAATTAATCGCTTGCTTGACGTTGTCTCAACTGATTTAATTTATTAAGATACTTTTACACTGAAGCCTCCCCCCCCCCCATCCCATACTCACAAATTAGCTGGACCCAATTGGAAACACGTGCTCAGATACTACGGCGAGTGTTCTAACATTTCTTTTGCGGGTACAGACCCACCCTTGAGGTTGTTATAAAAGTTATTGGAATAATCGAGGAGCAAGGGCCTCCGTAAATCATAAGAGGGCCTCTGAATACTTCGCGAAGCGCAAACATTTTATACTAGTTTATGTAACTGTTCTAAAGTTATTTGAATATGAATATCCAAAGCAAACTTGTAAACGTCTTTTTCATACATATTAGACAGCACATGGTAGTTAAGCTCTTAGTCCTAAAGTACATTATCTTATTTGATCCCCCCAAAAAATTAACAAGAAATTATTGCTATCATTATCATAGGATGTTACGATAAATCAGCTTTCTTAAAACTTAGATAGTGTGGCGCAATTTGTTGCTTTAAAGTTTCTCTCCCTCAGTTTCACACAAAAAATAGTATTATCAATTTTATAACTCCCTATTCTTTTGTGAGCATGTTTCGCCTACTTGAGTGCAAATATGTGTGTTTCTTACACGTTAACATAAGTATTTGCATTAAACCTCGTGTTTCTGTTAACCCATCATTTCTCTTTACGGAAATTACAACAAAATAACATAAATTTGTTTTATTGACAAAACAGCATCACTGGGCAAATTAACAAAATAATATATATTTGCTAATCTGTGTGTAATCTAAGCAGACAATTCTTTAATCTAGTAAAATGCTATACGCGTTAACAGGAACGATTTCTTTCTCTTTTTACCACTTGAACATTGCCAGCAACCAGCAAGAATTATAGTATTTTGTTAGATATTTCCTTCACATTTCTCTATAACACCACTTTTCTTGATAATTTTATAACGCCCAGCGGCTGAAAGGGCGAGCATGTTTGGTGGAACAAGGATTCGAATCCGCGACCCGCATATTGCGAGTCGAACACCATAACTACCTGGCCATGCCAGGTCCTTGGGATACACATAGAAATAATTTTGCCCTTCCACCACCACGAATGAACTAAAACGTGCCCAGAAGATCATCCAGGTATGATGAGCATCTAGAAGTAGGATTTCGGGGTCGCAGAACTCGAATCTAGCATTGGATTTTGTGTTTCTACCCCTCTCGGTATCGCAGGGATGTCGTTTTTGAAACTGTGTTCATAGTTGAGGAAAAAAGCTGTAGGTGTTACTTTTTTGTTATATTCCCCCAAATAAGTTTTTAATGATTGCATCCTTTTGATTTTATGCAGAAAACATGAGTAGCCACAAAAGGAAGTTGTGTATGTAATTAGTGTGCGCAGTCTAAGGCATTCATACACAAATTAACCTATTGTCTGCATTTTTATAGGAGACTAGTGCCACTTCACTTGTAAGGAAAGTATGATAAAATGTAATGGAGTTTATACTCCTTACGTTATGGTTTCTAGGGGTACAATATGTACATATTAAGTAGAGTAAGGTGTAGAACAGTAAACATACGTAAATAAAGTTTGAATTCCTCAACGTGATGCTGTAAGTACTGAAGGATAAAAATATCTACACAGGGTGGGCGTAAGGCAGTAGATAGCATGCCCATATACAATATACAAGACTGAATATACAAGACTGTTTAGTTTATTTAGTGATTTAATATTTAATGGTTATTTAGCTTTCATAGCAAGCGTGTTAAAAGTTAATTATTTCAAAAGCGATATTGACAAGTTTCGTAACTCGGTACGAGTCGTTCGTTGTTTATACAGTTTATTGGTTATATCAGGCTTTAGTAATATTGTTGATATTATCTTACTCGAAGCTTCCAAATTTTTCTAGTTTTGTGTAATAGTGTTGCTACTAGAGGGCTAGATAGTTGTTTTGTTTTGAATTTCGCGCAAAGCTACACGAGGGTTATCTGCGCTAGCCGCCCCTAATTTAGAGGGAAGGCAGCTAGTCATCATCACCTACCGGGCTACTCTTGGGCTACTCTTTTACCAACGAATAGTGGGATTGACCGTCGCATTATAAAGCCCCCACAGCTGAAAGGGTGAGCATGTTTGGTGGGACAGGGATTTGAACCCGCGACCCGCAGATTGCGAATCGATCTCCATAACCACCTGACGGCTAGATAGTTC